GATTAATTGTGACCTCTTTGACTTTGTCAACCAATTCTTCAGATATAATCCAAAAATCAATCCTCGATCTCCTTGATAAATCTTTGTTATTCCAAGTGAACTGAAGTCTGAATCTGATGAGGATTCTTAATTCTCCAAACATCACAACAGTTTAAATGTAAGCACAAGTTATTGAATTCTCCATACATACCATTTAAGGAGTGCACAGGAAAACAGTCTTTGGTAGGATTTGTAATAGAGTTCCAGTCAAGTTACATTTTCGGTAGGTGTAACATTTTCGGTAGTGACAGATGTCCGCAGGCGGACATTAACCGGATCCGGAACTACGGATCCAATAGGGTGTACGGATCGTGTAGCGACAGTAACCCCCCCACCCCCCCAGCATGACGGATGCGAACGTGATGACATCACGTACGCAATCCAGAAAAAAAGAGAGACCTGGCGCAGCCTGGGGGGGAGAGAGGCTCTGCTTTTAGTTATCTTTGTTTGCTAGAATAAACAAAGACCATTTTTTTAAAAATAGCGAAAAACCCACCACGGCGAAATACAGAAAAAACGCAACCAGGAAAAAACTATTCGCTGGAGGACATTTTTAGGTCCCGCTGCAGCACCAGAGTGGCTAATATTCTGGGAGATCCCGACCACCCAGTACATCAACAGTGTTGCCCTCCAGAAAACGTTTTAGGTTTCTCAATTCACGTACAAACAGGTTTAAAAATAGCTATTACCCTACGGCTATGCACATTCTGAATTCTGTCTAGTCATTGCATGTTAACACGTGAAGGTAGTCTTGTGCTGAATTAATGAATGTCGTGTTGTGCTGCACTTTAAGTCTATATGCATAATACAAATTTTAATGTAATTTCATTGTGTTGTGCTGAATTTTATTTATGTATTAAAACACTTTTATTATTTATGCCAAATTTGCACTGAAGGGACTGCATCCAATTTCATCGTATGTAGTATTATGACAATAAAGATTCATTTCATTTTTTCATTTCATTTCAAAGCTTTGTTTCAAATGCAACTTTTGCTCACTGATTTCCCCCCACTTTAAAAAAACCCTCCTGCGTCCCTGAC